AGAAAGGAGAAGCAAAGCTTCTAAGTTTTTAATTGATAGAGTATGTAATGCCTCTTCGTTGCTGCTGCTGGTGCTGGCGGCGCTGCTGCCGGTGCTGCTGCTGCTGCTGCATGCGACGACTCGACGCCCTTCATTTTGCTGCAGCTCGTCAGAGAAACGCTGCTGGAGGCGGGTGAGGAAGCAGCAGCAGCAGCAGCAGCGGCAGCAGAAGCAGCAGCAGAAGGTGCTGCTGCGCCGCCTGCAGCAACGGAGAGTGTGGCAGGCCCTGCTGCAGCAGCAGCAGGTGAAGCAGCAGCAGCAGCAAAGGCCGCTTTTGCTGTTTCTCGCCTGCTGGAGCAGCTGCAGCAGCAAGAGCAGCAGCAACAGCAGCAGCAGGGGGAAACAGCAGCAGCAGCAGCAGCAGCAGCAGAAGCAGCAGCAGATGTAGAGAGGTTTACGCGGTGTCTCACGTGGTCCTCCGTCTGCAGCAGCTTTGCTGCTGTTGGCTTCTGCAGCAAGCTGCAGCAGCAGATAGCGAGGGGCCTTATTGTTGCTGCTGCTCTTCCTTGTGTCTCCTTTCTTCCCCTGCAGCCAGAAGACAACAACAGCAGCAACGCTGCAGTGAGACACACACCCTGCTGCTGCTGCTGCTGCTGCTGCTGCTGCTGTTGATGCTGCTGCTGCTGCTGCCGTTGATGCTGCTGCTGCTGTTGATGCTGCCGTTGCTGCTGCTGCTGCTGCTGTTGATGCTGCTGCTGCTGCTGCTGGTTCCCGTGTTGGTTCTGCTGCGGATTGTGCTGCTGCCGCTGCTGCTGCTTCAGCTGTTGCTGCTGCAGCTATTAAGTTGCAGCAGCAACAGCTGATTTCTTATTTTCCCTTGTGGGTGTCCAATTTTGCTGCTGTTGCTGCTGCTGCTGCTGCTGCTGCTGCTGCTGCTGCTGCTGCTGCTGCTGCTGCTGCTGCAGGTGGTGCGGGACTTTTTTTTCTTTTGCTGCTTGGAGGCGATGGGTTCTTCTGCTGCTGAGACGGAGCGGTATTTCGTGTCTTCTCCTTTTCTTTGCTTCAAGGCAGATTTGTCTGCTGCTGCTGCAGCACGCCGTGCTGCTGCTGCTGCTGCTCAGGTGTATAGGCACCTCGTCGCCTGGGTTGCGGAGCTGGGGGGCCGGCAGCTGACTGCTCTTGCTGCTGCAGTGCAGCAGATGCAGCAGATGTCTGCAGCAGCAGAACCAGGCGAGTTGCTGCTGCCCTGCTGCTGCAGCAGCTGCTCCAACGCTCACAACGAAGGAGCAGCAGCGGCAGCAGGTTCATCAGGTGCAGCAGCAGCAGCAGCAGCAGCAGCAGCAGCAGCAGAAGGAACAGCAGCAGCTGCAGCAGCAACGCCAGAAGAAGGAGAGAGAAAACCGGAATCTTTCTTTAGCTGCATCGACAGCAGCAGCCTGCGGCGACGCATGCATTCTATCTTTGCTGCTGATTCCTCCTCAGCTGCAGCAGCAGCAGCAGCAGCAGTAGTGCTGCTGGAGGCAGCAGATATCCTACCGGATACAGAAGAAGACGCAGCAGCAGCAGCAGCAGCAGCAGCAGCAGCAGCAGCAAATACACCTACACCACGCTGTTTCTCTGCCGGCCTCACCCGCTTCTGCAGCAACTTTGTCAACGAGAAACTGATGCAGCACATGCAGCAGCAGCTGCTGCACCAGCAGCTGCTGCAGCAGCAGCAGCAGCAAGCGCTAACCCTAAGAGATACTGCAGAGTTGAATCAAGGAATGCAAATGCTGCAGCAGCAGCTGCTGCTGAAGGAGCAAAAACTCCAGGCGCGGCGCCGCCGCCGGCAGCAGCAGCAGCAGCAGCAGCAGCAGCAGCAACAGCAGCAGCAGCAGCAGCAGCACTGCAACTTCACTCAAGGGGATCTCGTAACTGGGCCACCTGCGCTTGCCGTGATGGAAGGACGCAGCCGCAGCCGCAGCAGCAGCAGCAGCCGCAGCAGCAGCAGCAGCAGCAGCAGCAGCAGCAGCAGCAGCTGGCAGCAGCAAACAAGTGCGTTCTCGCTGCTTTGGGATGCTGCGAGGTCCCCTATTATAAAAGACGAGAACAGAGACTGCTTCTTCTTTCATCAGCTGCAGAAGCAGCTGCAGCAGCAGCTGCAGCAGCAGCTGCAGCAGCTGCAG